TACTTGAAAAAGCGGGATTTAGGTGAGGTGATTTAAGAGCTAAAACGTGGCAAAAACGACCCCTATGGTCGCCTAGGTGTAGACAAGCGAAAACGCCGCCAAAACACGCTCATGTTCATTTTGAGAGCGTCGAGAAGCAATCCGGGGAGACCGGGTGCGCCGCTTATATGCGTATTTTGGCGCAACCCGTAGGCAGTCAACGTCTGATCGAATGAAAATGGCGATTCCAGGCCTTGCTGGCTCCTTTAAAATCAACTTTGGGCCACCATAGCGACATATCAGGGATTCAGAGTAAAAAGTTCCATCGAAGGCGCGTATTACGCAACAATACCTTAGACACACGCAGGAAAAGAAGGGAAAAGACACAAACAAACTGTCAGCGGAACGGAATCGGATAACTTGGAGCTCGAAAACTAGTCAAAGTAGCAGACACTCGGAAATTTCGTAAAATTGGGAAAATCCTCAAATTAACAGCAAAAAAGCCCGTCAGGTAATTCGACCATTATTCCGGGACTTACAAATCGTAGGATTCGGAGCACAAACAGACACACAGGGAGGGGTGTGACTGGAAAAGCGGTTCGAGGGCGGAGGCCCCCCCCCCCGGGCGTTCCCGTGTTTGCTTTTTCGTGGTAGGGCCCGGAGACAGAGCGAGAGAATGAAAGAAAGAAGAGAGAGAACGGGTATGGTCAGCCGTGGTCAGGGACAGGGAGCAGGAGAAGCTTTGTAAAAATTCGCAGAAAACTATGAATTAGTACGTATGGGCTTATCTTCTCCCTTCGAAGTGTCTCTGTAGCCGAGTGGTTAGCGGGTTACACCGTCGATCAGAGGGTCAGCTTCGCATCTCGACCCGGTCTACTTTTGGTTTTTTTGGAGCCTTGCTATGGCAATAAGTTTTGCTACAGAATATTTCTAATGGTGGTCAACGTTTTTCCCAGTCGTTCCGGCAATTTCTCGCTTTGACGCAGTGGATATGGCGCTAAACTTTCGAGTTGAGGGCCTGGGTTCGAATCTCGTCACGGTAAACTTTTTTGCTTTTTGACCAAGGCGTTCGATTCGCTTCAGTAGTTGCAGAACTACTTTTATAAACTACTGCCGTCTCGACAACACCTGAAGATCCAAGAAATCATCGAACATCTGGGTTGCTTGCCCCTTTAGAGGGACGATGAAGTCAAATTTTTGTTCTGTAGACATTTAAAATAGAGTGATTCTGTAGCGCTAACCAGTCCGTGATGTACGAAAAATTACAGCTATGATTCGTCTAATTTTACATCAATTTTTAAAGAAGCTTCTTCGTCCTCTTAATCCTTAATTATAAATTAATGCGCAGAATTTAACCACATTTCACTAGATTTTTACACGAGGTACAACCCTGCTCTTTTCGCTGTAGGACCCCCGGCCCCACCCACCCCACCAAACACGGTGCTCTTTGTCGAGTTTACCCCCCGCGACCCCGCGAGACCCAGGATCTGCGAGTCCGAGTCCCCCTCCCCCTTTTACAAAAACGAGACGTCAAGTAACGCATCCCGGAGGGTGGAACGCTTTGTCCACAACGCTCCTTCTCGGTCCGTTGTTGGGACCACGGGCCGGGGCGGGATACGCTGGATCGCTGGCTGGACGCGGACAACCACCACCACTACCACCACCAAGCACACATGCCCCACGGTGTTCACACAATCTGACCCATGGACATCACGGGGCTATTACGATTTTTTGGATAAGGCGGATGATTAGGACTTGAAAAAAACAGCATTAAAAGCATGAAATCAAATCGAAAAAATGCACCACTGCTAAGCGGAAGGCGGTGAGAAAATGACGCAATTTTCACAAAAAATGGTTTTGATTGACCCTAGTTGATTGGTTGGCAAGTTGAATTGGTTTTTTCATTTTTTTAAAGCTTTTTTTTGGTTGGTTTAAAAGAGCTTGGAAGCGTGAGATGCGACACCGGAAAGTATCAACTGGTGAGAAAAAAGGTACAAAAGCTCAAGATTTGCAAACATGCTCATTAAGCTAGCGAACTGCTTCTACTTTGGACGGCGAGAGAACAGACAACAAACAACAAAGAAATAAAAATCTGTCTTGACATATTCTGGGGCTGAAAGCGCATTTTGAGCCCACGAGAAAAGCAAGATTTTTCTCAAGTAAACTTAATTTGCGGGAGTTTCAAAGCATTTTTGAGTAATTTGACATCCTAGATCCCAAATTCCATATCAATAAACGTAAGAAAAATCACCGTAATCGCAGCCCGGTCAAAAAGCTATGTTATCCGATTTTCTAAGACGATCTAACCCGATTTGATGGTGAAAACGGCGTTTAATTTGCATCTAAAAGTTCAATTGCAAAGGTATTACGCCCAGATCATCGCTTCAAGCTTTTGAGCAGATTTTCAGGCTTGCCAGCACCTTTAATTGTAAAATGAATGTCCATAACATGTGGAAATCGGCGCCAAGCGTCAAAAGCTGAGCCGTGAGTTCGACTAATAACAGCGGAGTACTGTAACGGAGCCGTAAAATGCACCGTCCCTCCCATCCGGCGCACAATGGAGCGCCAGCCGCACAGCGGGGCAAAGGACGGATTCGTACCACCGTTCTCGCCGCCGGCCGGCTCGTTGTCCAGGCTAAACTGGCCATAATATCCAGTTCAAAACGGGGCAAACACGGAGCGCGAGGGCCGCGCCTCCGCGTCCGCGCCCCTGACCAAACAGTCCGGCATAACAATGACCGGAACGCGGTGCGCGCGAAATGGCAACGTGGGTCCCGGATGGAGGCGGGAGGAACGACGAGGAAAGGTCAGGGGTGTACGGAATTTTTGGCGAAACCTAATCTGAGAGACAATGCAGGTTAGAAAAACCTGAAAAGCTAGCAAAGATTCTTGAGGAATGCCGAAAAGCTGTTTTCTCTGTATTGTGGAGTTACAGCCTAGTTTTTCTTCCTAGACTTGGCTCAGAAAAATTGATGGAGGTGACTTTTGGTTTGGCGCCTTTCTTCTCTAGAGCCAGCTAGCAGAGGTTCTTGAGGAATCGATTCCACTAGGATTCGAAATTACGAAGGCAAACGAGCGTGAATTCTGAGGTCAACGAGCAGGGATAATTTAGGAATTTAGGATGAGGCAAGCAAGCAGAGAGCCTTTAGAAAACTGGCCAGAAGAAAGCACGCAGGTAGCCTTCAGGAATCTGCAGAAGGCGAAAACCAAAAAATTCGCCCCAGGGAAGGCTAAGGAAGAAAGCGAACCTCCCAGGACGCTAGCTAGCAGAGAATCTTCAGGAAATGGAACTGAGTCGTATAATGCCTAGAAATTAGAATCAAAAGTATAGGTAAAAAAGCCAGAGCTCAAGACGTTCGAGGTCACCCACCGTACCCAGGCCCCCCCTAGAAAAATCGTTGTAAGAGCAGCTAGCAGAGAACATCGAGCAATTGGATGAGTCATGTAATTTGTAATTGGCGGTAAAAATTTAGACGAGAAATTGTAAATTTGGCCTTTAAGGACGAACTCGGAGACGCACTCGTCCGACTACCGTACCCAGGCGCTAAATGGCAACATGACCTCCCCCGCCCCAGACGCTGCCCGCCTTCAGCGACTAGGCTGTCTAGCCCGCAGGGGTCGTGGGGAATGCTTTGTTTGTACCCGCTAGGCCAGCTTCGCGCGCGCGCCCTTCGCCCTCCCCACAACCACACTGGGCGCGTTCCAAAAATAGGGGGGACCGTTAGCTTTTCGAAACGGGAGGGAGGGACCCCTCCTGGAGCCTGCGGGCGCACGCGGGTCGACGATCTGCTCAAATAGACGCTGTCTATACGTGGCGCTCGAATGGGAGGGAGGCTAGGGGAGGAGGAGGAGGGGGACAAGCCGAATCGACGTTCAGAAAAACGGGGATCGAGAAAGAAATAAAATTGTATTAATATACTGGAATCTTCCGATCAAGGTCATGCTCTAAACATTTGACGTGCTTGGGCAATCAGATGACGTTGCGAGAACTTCAAAAGATGTCCTTACCCTTGCTTCGAGCTGCATTTTGAGCTACCCTGAACCTGATAACGTCGACGTTGACTTGATGATATGGTCGAAACATTCACGATTTTTTTGCAGATGAGTCGGAAGACATCAAAACACACCACAGCGTCATCTGAATCGACTACCACGTCGTCAGGAAATTTCATGACGTTTTCGGCCGATTTTGTGCCTTCTTGAAGCTTCTGAAAGCAGCCATCAAGTAGGATGCTCTACATTCGACTCTTCGTTTTTCTACAGGCTCTCTCTCTCTCACTCTCTCTTTCGCTCTCACTCGCTTTCTCACATTCTCTTTTTCTCACTCTCGCTCTCTCTCTCACACTTTCTTTCTCAAGTTGTCTCCCTCTATCTCTATCTCTATCACGTTCTCCTTCTTTCGCTCCCTCTCTGCCCCACTCTCTCGCTCCTAACTTGAGCTCGAACTCGAACCCAAACTCGAACTCACGCAAAATCCAATTCTACTACGAATTTTAATTTTTTTAAAGACCGAGAGACTACTGGACAGACGTCCGGACACACAGAGAAGCACCCAGACACACAGGCGCACACCAACCCCCGCAGACCGTGTCTCTCTCCTGACTCTCCTACGTCCCCAGGCCTCCTCTACACGCCTGGAGACGTGTCACGTAGGGATTTGCACTTTTCGCGGGTGGCTGAGTGAGTGCAGTTGGTCAAGAGTCGGGAGGGGAGGGCAAACAAATTCCTGAGAAATTTCATTTTAGGGTTAGAGGTACAGTGGCGTGAACGTCCTGAATAGTTATTTTGTAATTTTCAAACGCATTTTTGTATCATTAGTCCGTAAAATGACCATATACAGCTTGTACAATAAAGAGCAGAATGCAAATTCAAAAAAGGAAAAGTGCATAAGTGAGCAAGAGACCCGTCAAGGGGAGAGAAAAACAACGACAAGATCAGGGGTGCAGAATGCAGATGAAAATTTGTACATGAAAATACTAATTACAGATACAGCCAAGCTACAAAAATATCATTTTTTTTTAGTCATAGGATCGAAGGGAGCATCTTCTCAACTTATCGCCCAGTCCGGCTGCTTCGATGAATTTTGAGCCCTGAAATGCCCAATGATTGTGTAGGCGAGAGAGAGAGAGAGAGAGAGAGAGAGAGCAAGTGAGAGCGAGAGAGAGAAGGAGAGCAAGATTGAGAGAGAGAAGTAGAAAGCATGAACATCAACTTACATTAATTAGCACCACCTCTGCCACTTCCAAAGCATGGGCGGTCGATGGGTAGAATTGGTCCTCGCTAGCCACCTCGAAAAGTCCAGCTTTTCGGTATTGCATCAGGACGGCACCTTAAAAGATCGTATTAGGATTTTGTCGTTCCCAAAAAATCAATTCATCCAGAAGATAAAATTAATGTTTTATCTTAGGAAATTTAAAGCTAGAAAACCTACTCCTAACTTCCGAAAACAGGACCAGCGTATTTTTGGAAAGCATCTCGAGTATCAACTAAAACACAATAATTAATTATTTGTATATTTATCCATTAGAAACCTCCTTAACCGCCTCAATCCCCATGGAATCCGTATACACCCAGGTACTGCAGTCGAGAATCACGACGTCCCAATGGACGTTGGACTCATTTTGACGACATCATTCTCGTCGGGGAGTGGTAGTTTTTCAGGGGCCGTTACGTAGACTAAAACGTAAGTTGGTATGATGAAAAATAGTTTTTAATTTATACATTCAAAAAACTTCATAAGACATTAAAAAATTGTTTCGAAAACGCCTGGATACCTCTTGATAGCGTCGCAATTTCATGACGAATGGCTCGCTTGAAGCGCTCGACGTTGGTGAAGATGAGCGGGGCGTCGAAGCTAAATTCAAGCGATTAATTGTCTTACTATAATTATCACCACTTTAATAACGATAATACTTTCATTATATTTGCTTTATATGTTTCATTGGTGCTTTAGCAGCATTTTATTACGTGTTTACGCTGAGCGTCATTAGGTGGGTTGTCTTTTACAAAAAAGATTTTTCATCGAGAAGTTGTTAATATTCATTAAATTGATTTAATAGTATTTTTGCTTACAGATCAATTACATCGTTGATTTTCAATGCCAACTAGCAATATTTTTAGACCTACCGTATCACCGGGACGATCGGAGCAGCGGCCGAATCGTACCGATTTGCCACCCGAAAATCACCACTCGGCAATCGGCCAATCTCATTGAGTGGAGGCCTAATAATAACGTAATTTTCATAAAAAGTACGCTACAATACCATTGACTGCGTGCAATCACACTCAATACAGCCACCACAACACCAACCACCAAACCTTCTACAATGTCGTAGCCGAGTACTGCCGCTGCTGTGATCACCCAAACGGCCTGGAAATTGTGGTTTGTAGTTTACATTAATAGAGAAATTTTTGATACCTTAATCACTAAGTTGAAGCCCTTAATAAATAATAGAAAACCCTACGCAATCGATCTTTGAAATCCTCCCCAATGGCGGAACTTCTTGAACTTTCATCATTAAAGATCGTAGAGCTACGATTACGATCGAGCTCAATACGCACTAAAATTATAGTTATTTGACGCTATTTTTACAAATTACCATCGGCAACGATTCCAGCAATGGCCCGACAAAGAGAATGACAATCAGTGTAATTCCAGCCGATACAACGCCAGAAACCTGAAATTGCATAAACTTTTACCTTTCTACCAGTAAGAAGTAAAAAAAAAGTCTCTAAAACATCTTTTTGAGATTATTAGGCCATTCAGAAGACATATCCGGGCTTTCCCCCCAAAAAGCAAAAGGTTCGCAGCGAGCAGGATTCGAACCTGCGCGGGCCGAGCCCAATTGATTTCGAGTCAATCTCCTTAACCACTCGGACATCGCTGCATGGGGATGGGGGCGCCAGGGGAGGGTAGATAAGGGGTGGTCGCCATTTGGTTTCTCGGGATTCCCAGGTCATACAAAACGTAGATGATGTTCGCCCATCTCAACAAAAAGCAAAAATCAACAAAATCTCACTAAGAGCAGAACGTACCAAAGCCTAAGTACCAAAAAATCTTCTTAAAAATAGCTGTTTGGCGTCACCAGCGCAATCAGAAGACATAGCTGTGTGTATCCCCCAAAAAGCAAAAAGTTCGCAGCGAGCAGGATTCGAACCTACGCGGGCAGAGCCCAATTGATTTCGAGTCAATCTCCTTAACCACTCGGACATCGCTGCACGGTGATGAGGGCGCGGGGAAGGGTAGATAAGGGACGCGGATAAGGGACCCAAATGTTTTATCTTAGGAAATTTAAAGCTAGAAAACCTACTCCTAACTTCCGAAAACAGGACCAGCGTATTTTTGGAAAGCATCTCGAGTATCAACTAAAACACAATAATTAATTATTTGTATATTTATCCATTAGAAACCTCCTTAACCGCCTCAATCCCCATGGAATCCGTATACACCCAGGTACTGCAGTCGAGAATCACGACGTCCCAATGGACGTTGGACTCATTTTTGACGACATCATTCTCGTCGGGGAGTGGTAGTTTTTCAGGGGCCGTTACGTAGACTAAAACGTAAGTTGGTATGATGAAAAATAGTTTTTAATTTATACATTCAAAAAACTTCATAAGACATTAAAAAATTGTTTCGAAAACGCCTGGATACCTCTTGATAGCGTCGCAATTTCATGACGAATGGCTCGCTTGAAGCGCTCGACGTTGGTGAAGATGAGCGGGGCGTCGAAGCTAAATTCGCGATTAATTGTCTTACTAAAATTATCACCACTTTAATAACGATAATACTTTCATTATATTTGCTTTATATGTTTCATTGGTGCTTTAGCAGCATTTTATTACGTGTTTACGCTGAGCGTCATTAGGTGGGTTGTCTTTTACAAAAAGATTTTTCATCGAGAAGTTGTTAATATTCATTAAATTGATTTAATAGTATTTTTGCTTACAGATCAATTACATCGTTGATTTTCAATGCCAACTAGCAATATTTTTAGACCTACCGTATCACCGGGACGATCGGAGCAGCGGCCGAATCGTACCGATTTGCCACCCGAAAATCACCACTCGGCAATCGGCCAATCTCATTGAGTGGAGGCCTAATAATAACGTAATTTTCATAAAAGTACGCTACAATACCATTGACTGCGTGCAATCACACTCAATACAGCCACCACAACACCAACCACCAAACCTTCTACAATGTCGTAGCCGAGTACTGCCGCTGCTGTGATCACCCAAACGGCCTGGAAATTGTGGTTTGTAGTTTACATTAATAGAGAAATTTTTGATACCTTAATCACTAAGTTGAAGCCCTTAATAAATAATAGAAAACCCTACGCAATCGATCTTTGAAATCCTCCCCAATGGCGGAACTTCTTGAACTTTCATCATTAAAGATCGTAGAGCTACGATTACGATCGAGCTCAATACGCACTAAAATTATAGTTATTTGACGCTATTTTTACAAATTACCATCGGCAACGATTCCAGCAATGGCCCGACAAAGAGAATGACAATCAGTGTAATTCCAGCCGATACAACGCCAGAAACCTGAAATTGCATAAACTTTTACCTTTCTACCAGTAAGAAGTAAAAAAAGTCTCTAAAACATCTTTTGAGATTATTAGGCCATTCAGAAGACATATCCGGGCTTTTCCCCCAAAAAGCAAAAGGTTCGCAGCGAGCAGGATTCGAACCTGCGCGGGCCGAGCCCAATTGATTTCGAGTCAATCTCCTTAACCACTCGGACATCGCTGCATGGGGATGGGGGCGCCAGGGGAGGGTAGATAAGGGGTGGGTCGCCATTTGGTTTCTCGGGGATTCCCAGGTCATACAAAACGTAGATGATGTTCGCCCATCTCAACAAAAAGCAAAAATCAACAAAATCTCACTAAGAGCAGAACGTACCAAAGCCTAAGTACCAAAAAATCTTCTTAAAAATAGCTGTTTGGCGTCACCAGCGCAATCAGAAGACATAGCTGTGTGTATCCCCCAAAAAGCAAAAAGTTCGCAGCGAGCAGGATTCGAACCTACGCGGGCAGAGCCCAATTGATTTCGAGTCAATCTCCTTAACCACTCGGACATCGCTGCACGGTGATGAGGGCGCGGGGAAGGGTAGATAAGGGACGCGGCACAGGGGACGGAGAGGACAGAATTATGGCAGCGTAATCGATGCCAGAGGCAGGGTTTTTGGTGGGATCAGATTTTTTAACGTACTTAGAAGAATTTTCCCGAAATTCCCATAACTTATGGAAAGATAAACGCTAGAATACTGTAATTATAAATAAATAAATTTAAACGAACACTAATTTAACCCTTCTAAGTTTTATAAATACAAAACCAAATCTTACCTGTGATTTTGCGCCTGATGCTTCGTTTACAAGTGTTCTTGACAAAGAGCAGCTTGTAGGAAAAACGTTGAACATTGACGAAATTACAGATAAGGAGCCGAGGGCTAGGAGTTCCTATAAAAACCTTAGACATGTATGTTCTTTTTGTATTAAAAACGTTTTTCAGCTCAATTTTATGATTTTTTTTCTTAATTTTCATTTTCGTACCTGATTCGGATAAATCGTATAACCATGTTTCTTCGCAAACATTTTACCCATCGATACTGTAATGGCAAAAGCGACCACCGCAATGGAGATTCCATAAGAAAGAAGTGCGGGAAATAGGGCCAGTTTTGGGAAGGTGAATGGAGGGAAGCTGAAAATTAAAACTTCCCAGTTAATTTCGATATTGGATATATTTTTCATCTTTTTACTTATTTTTAACTTACCCAGTGGGGATATCCTCAATGATGCTGACTTTCCAGTGCTTGTGAATTTCGACGAAATAGGAGAAGATTGTGGCGGAGATTAGCTGAAAAGTGTGGAATTTAGAATTTTCGCCCTTAGAAAATGCACTTTTAATAATTTAAAACTTTCTAGAATAGCTATTAATGCGCGAAACATCATAGTACAACAATGATATATTTAGCTGATGCTAAAAATGCATCATTTATAGATTTTCGCGTAAAGCGTGATTTTTAACCCGTTTACAGCCATTCATTAGTTTGTGCGTTAACTAAATTTTTGTAAATATTACCGATATCTTCAAAGCTCGTTTTACCTACCAAAATCAACTCTGACGGAAATGGAATCTTCTTGAACGGCCAGTACTTGTCGGTCAGCATCTTGCAAGTCACCAGGAAAGTTATGGAAACCGCAGAGATCCCCAGTACGTAGAGATTCACATCCGGAATCTTTTTGCAGATGTCGATTAGTTGCTAAAAAGGTTGTCTTCCAGATTTTAAGCGTTTTCTTACATAGATTATCATGAAGAATTCCGAGTCTCGATTGGGTACTTTTATGCCGAGCAGTGCAGGTATCTAAAAATATCGTTGAGGGTTGATACATATTTCAAAAAAATTACATTCTATGTTGCTCTAGAAAAAAACTCTATGTTGTCTAGTCTGATTTTTAAGATGCGTTAAGGGTATCTTCAGCTTACTTGAGATCTAGCCGAATGTACCGCTGCCCCGAACATGAAGCCGTTGACGACGGCGTCTGACATGTAGGCTGTCAGGAATTCGAGTCGGAAGAGCCACATACCGAGCTAGAAGGCGGGATTATACAAAAAACTTTGTAGGGTTAATAGTATAAGTTGGTAGCTTATCCTGAAGTTTTATCATAGGCAGTCAGTTCATATTTTACTTTCGCCTACGCCGCACCACTGAACGCTGTTATTTTACGCTTTCGCAGAGCCTAGTGCAATTTCGTCCTGCCAACGCTTGAGTCTTCCATTTTTGCAACTTTACTTTTCAGTACGCCGCGTAAGAGTAGTGTTTCATTTCTACGCGCGCATTACGCGCTATTCCTCTCGACGCCTTCATTTTATGCATTATTTTGCAAATTCCACCCGGAAACAACGTTAAGCCACTTTTAAGGTAATTTTAAGGCATTTTTGCCCCGTCGAGAAGAGTGTCCCGGCTGGGATTCTCGGGGACACTATTTCTCTGAACGCTTGGTTTTCACACCGATACGAGCGTTCCTCTTTCTACCTCCTTAAACCCCGATGGATGAAATTGATTGATTTCGAACGTTAGGCTACGTAAGGCTCCACCGAACGCGCGAGGTGCCTGCGTTTTGGGAATCTGGACGACTTTACTCAATTTAGCACTCTGCAACACTATACCACTCCCTTTACTGTAGCTTTTCCACTCGATTAGCCTCTTACTAGTCGCTAACATAACACAGCTTTCCCAGGCAGGTGCTTTTTATGCTTTCGCAAGATCCTCGGATCCGCAGCTAGCCCCTTTATCCTCTCACAGTCGTTCACGGCTGAGTAACCCTCCGGGGTATTCATACAGAAAAGAGGGATGCATCAGAGTAGTGGATATATTGTGAGAGTAGGGGGTCCCGCAGCGACAGTCTCTCTCTCTCTCTCTCTCTCTCTCTCGCTCTCTCTGTCAAATACACCTCAGAAGACCCCGCCCCGGTCAATTACCCCACACACTGTCGAGGGGGCAGGAAGGGAAGATACTTCACTACATACACATACAGACAGACAGAGACGGACGGCTGCCATCGACACCTACTTCTACTCACTCTCTTCGCCACCTTCTACTCCATATTCCGGCACACGCCACTTAACGAGCCGTGTGAGGAGCAGGAGCAAGAGCAGCGCGGCGTCGTCATAGCCGGACGAGCTCGAGGTGTTTTTTGGGGAGTTACGGTATGTTTTAAAAGAGCCTTAAAATCGATTTTTGAGCTCTGAATTAACGACTTCGGTTTAATTAACTAAACCGTAAATTTTGAACTTATAATCCCGTGTTAACACCTTTGGCAGTTTTTCAATATTTACGGTAAGCTGTAAAAGTATCTAGGGGTAATTTTGAGGTTCGCGCCCATGTTTTTTAGTAAAAACTATAGTTTTCAGCTTCAACAAGCTTTTTAAAGCAAGGTTGAATTTCAATATTTTTCAGAAAATGCCACCGTGGCGGGAGAGCTTCTTCTTCAAACCCCGGCTCGTGCTCGCCTCCCTATTTTGCCTGGCTTTTGGCCACCTACTCGCCCTGCCCTCGATTTTGCACACCTCCATTTCCTGTGATAAGGTAAGAAAAAACGCTTTAGCTCTTTTCAAGATTTATACTATAAATTTTTTATACAAATCATGTAAACTTTTTAATTGTTTCGAAAAAAACTTGAATGATTATTGGCATTTCGCCTCAAAAAAATTCTGCGTCAGGCGTCCAGCCCCTTTAAAAGTTGAAAAGTGTTATGGCAAGGTAAAAAAATTATTTTAACACGTATATAAGACAAATTTCACGCTACAAAATCTTTGAAAAAATTCATGCGTCTACAAGGCGAAAAATATTTAGCTTATTGTTCATGCTACGTAGATGCTTAATTTTAAAACCCCTGAAGCTCAATCTCCCAACTTCTGCGTAACTTACACTTTTGACATACAAAATATCTAAACCTTGTCGATCAAAAATTTCCCAAAATCGCCCCACCTCCCACCATTTTTCCGGATTCTCGAAATCCGCAAAGCCGAGGGCAAGGTTTTCTCGATCCGGGGATAGGTTTTAGGGTGGATTTAGAGGGAGTCAACTTCGCAAACGGGGTTCGCCTTCTCTCTCTCTTGCTCTCTTTCTCTCTCATTCTCTTTCTCTCTATCTCTCTCTCACTCTCTTCCTTCAGCTACGGAACAATCCGGGGATTGACACCGTTTCCCGGTAGGGCCTTTTATGCCTATTCATCGGCCCCAACTGCACAGGCCGGGATACAGTTGGTTGGTGACCTTCAGAGAGGCACCTCTGAATTCTGTAGAAAGCCCTGAGGGAAGTATAATTACTACCACCTGCCTCCAGTGACGCTACGGGACTACTCTTGACAATGACACTCGGGAATTGAGCGCGAAATTGTGGAGAATTGTTCGGTGTAAATGGGAATGTTGCGGAAAGAAAAGAAAAACTAGAATTTTAACGACAACCCGAATTTTAAAAGGCAAGCAAGCAGAGATTCTTGAAGGTTGAAAGCTCAAGTAAGGACCGAAGTATTGAATTGTTGAATTAAATGAAAATTCATGGAGATATCAGATAGACACGATAGTAGAGACTATTTGGGAAACCTCCTGCTCCACCTAATGCTCCATTTTCAGACAGACTTCCTCCTCAAAATCGCCTTCAACGACACATTTACGGGTTTGATCTACACGGAGCAGGGCAGCCCGAATTGTGTCTACGTCAATGCTTCAGTGCAACCGAGCACGAACTATCAAGTTAAGGTAAGGAAAACTTACCTTATGACGTCTCTCTCTCTCTCGCTCTCTCTCTCACTCTAGCTCGCACTCTATCTCACTTTCATCTCTCTCTCCCTCGCCCTCATATTTTCTCGATTCATGTCCCCTCCCTCCAATGAAATAGAAAATTGGCATCCTCCCGCGGCGCGTAAAGTGAGAAAGTAGATCCACACTCCGGGGGGTTGGAGAAAGTCTAGATGGCAAGGGCAACTAGTCCTCGATCCTCCCAAAACGGCCCGCATGCCGTTCCCGTAGATTTTTAAGTCCTCTAGGGCGAGAATTTGAGATCGGGAGTGACAGGAAGGTTATAATGGTAAATACAAACTCTGGGATGAATACGTGAAAACCGGATCCCAGAAATCGTTGGCGCTCTTATTTATTACACAGAATTTTGCGAAACTTTCCTCGGGTCATGGTTGTTGAAGGGAACGTGGCAGCTAGAAGAAAATAACAAAAAATCCCTCCAAAGTTTCTATAAAGCTATGCGAATTCTAGATACCACTCGCCGGCTGTGAAACCCGAAGAAATTCTGATGGAAACCTGGAGAATGAGATTGTTATCCAGGTAAGAGCAGATTTTTTTAAATTAAGAGCGACTTTTAGAATGGCGACTCTTTCCGGGCTGGTGGTGATCGAAAATTTTTGCTGACTTGTATCCCGGCTGCTCCGAGGTTTAGGTAAAATAAAATACTATCTTCCAAAGCTTCCATTGGTAACTTTAAGAATTTTATACATTGAGAAATCGCTTAGTGCTTAAATCAATCAAAAATAAAAATCGAAAAGTACCAGCAAACCTTCAAAAAACCGTTTTAGGGATAGCCTCGTCACCGTAGCATTTGGAGGTGTAACGATCGATCAAGCTACTACAGTGTCGAGTGTTAGCAATACGAATACACAGAAGTAGGTGGCAGTAATGTAGGAGAAATATGAAGATGAGTCTCGAAAAATGTTGCGATTTAGGCTCGAATACTTCGTGACCGTCATCGACGCCACCAAGCCAGGGCGCGAGCCTTTGAGGCGACCACTGGCGGTTGGGGACAAAGTGGTAAGTCAAGGATTAATTAAGTAATAATATGTAGAATTAATAGGGGGCAGCTAGCAGAGATCTTTTGAGAGGACTAGAGAAAAGCTAAAAGAAGAGTGTCACAATTAGAATGTCAGCCACTATACCATTGATTTTGAAAAATGTTGCAATTTCCTTGATAACCAGGGTACGCTTAAGGTATCCAGAAGTTACGTATCCACCTCTAGATCTACTCCGTTTTTGTACGTCACCCGATTCGGGCCAGAATTGGCAGATGTTGGGCTACAGACGACGCCTCGAAACTTGAGCTCTCAAACGCCGAGGGCTGTTCGGTTCAAAGAAGCGGAAACGTGTGGAATGACTTTGCGGTATCTTAACTTATCCACTTCCAAGATATATCCCCTTAGGTTTCCGAAAATGACACTGGCGTCACGTACGACAACTCGATCAAGGCATGGGCTTTCCCGACTAGGTATGGCTGTTTTTAAGGGAAGCTAACAGACCTATTTTTTAGCAATGAAGTCAACATTTTCTGCAATTTACATGTTTGCAAGGATTGTCGACAGACACAGGTTTTTTTGCTTGACACTGAGAGTTAATTTAATTTTATGTTTTTTAGTGTGCTTCGAGACGAAGAAGAGGGCTAATCCCAGCCGATGAAAGTATCGAAAATCCACTTGGTCCGCTGCCAGAACGGATAATCGGTGATCAGGTGCCGTATTTTGTAGTTTATTTTAAGATTACTTTGCATATCTTTAAAGTTTAAGTACTAGTAATGACTTGATTTCAATGTTTTTTTCATTAAAGTCAACAAAAATATTCCCTATCTCGTTTCCAGATTATGGAAGACGACCTCACACCCCCGATTCCACTACTTGGAACGTTAAGGTTACGGTAAGTTATCTGGTTTTTACAAAACTGCTAAACCAAATTTTAGGATGTCAAAAGGCGGTCCGGCAGCTGAAGCAGCCGCTCATACTGCTAATAACTCCAATCGAAAACCATATCTTCTTATTTTTAGTATTTTGTCACTGGTGCTTTCAAGGTTTTGTGCATAAATATACGATATTAAGAAGTCTTAAAGCTATGAGATACGCCCAGGCTTAGGTTTAGGCTTAGGCTAAGGCTAGAGGACTCAAAAACACGCAGTAATGAAAAATATACCTTAAAACCCCCAAATACCAACCTGCAAGACCCCAGTAGTAAAGCTGAGTGCCGCCACGATATCCACCGGCTTCAAATTGTCGATTCCTTCATAAGAGGTGTGGCCATCAGGTAGTAACGATGTTCTTGCATGGCCAATCATCATGCAAGTAATGGAGAAAACACCTAAAAAGCAAAATATGGAAATTTGTGGCTTGTAGTTTATCGTACCAATGCTCGTATGGAATCCGGTTCCCAAAATGGCATAGATGAGAGGCGGGAAAAACGAAGCGTAAAGTCCGTAAACTGGCGGAAGTGACGCTAGTACGGAATAGGCCATTCCTGAAAATATAAGGTATGAAGCTTTATTAAATTTATATAAATCTAACGTACTATTTTATCCTGTTTGTGGGGATTATAGTACGATAGTTTAACCCTAAAAATCTGGAAAAACTCTTAGCTTACCTTGTGGAACATTATAAATCCCGACAGTCACTCCGGCAATGATGTCGGCCATCAGGTTTTTCACTCGGTATTTCCGGGCCCATGAGGTGATGGGAATTCGGCGTTTTGCCGTTTTTATCAAACCTAAATTCTGAATTTTCAAGAATCCGGTAGAGTTAGTACCTCTTGTTGAGCATAAACTCTTTGCCCAATCCTTGCCCAACTCCAGCCCCTGCTGCCATAGTGGTACTTCTTCCTCGCAGCGCAGGCCATTCTCGTGGTCGAATTCTGCCTAAAGGTGCTCTAGACTATAAGTTTTACAACTTTGCATAGCCATCAACAGTTTATTTTTTTATATGGAAACCGATTGCGGTGGAGCATTGAAAATAAGTGTAAGGAACGAGTTATACCCGACTTCAAGGAGTTCAGCTCACCTGGTTCATTAGAAGTGGCCGGAACAGAAGGAAATTCGAAGGCTGTTTATGAGAAGTGTAGTCCTTTTATGAAGATACCTAAATGATTCTGATTACCGGGTGTTTCAATGAAACGGGAAAACAACGAAAACCGGATTAATCAACGTGGTGCTCTTTAAAGAGCAATGACTTGCTGGATGTCGAGCGTTAGAGAGCGAGATTGAGAGAGATAGAGAGAGAGGGAGCAAGAGAGAGAGCGAGAGAGAGAGAACGCCAACAAAAACAAGTTCCAGCTTCCTGTTGCTGCCACCAAGTTTGGCGAATAGAGCCAAGAAACACGTGGGTCAAGCGTGGAGCTGGGGGTTAGTACGATGTCGTCGAAATCTGCTTTTGACGACAAGACTACGATACTTTACGTAAAGACGTTTAGAATCGTTTGTATAGAATTTGTTGGAATTTACGAAAAGTGGCATACGATCAAGAGTGAAATGGCGGAAATGAGTTCCTTATCAAAGGCTGGTGCTCGTGATATGTGGTGACAAGTTGAACGATTGGTGGTGGGGAGAGGAGGAGGCGGAAATTGGTAAAAAGGGGAACAAGTAGCGGTGAAACAGCAAAAATTTGTGGCGCTTACACGTGCGTTTTCGACTTTTCAAGGGAGCGAGACAGCCGGATATTCCACATCTGTGAAGAAGCTACTTTCCACTGAAAAATAGAATGATAGGGTTTTCCCTGATTTTTGAAGTTTTTTTCCTTTTTTGACGCGTTTTCCAGTTCTTACGCCCCGTTTTTAAGTTTAAACTGTACTATAAATTAGTAGAATTACCAAAAAGCAAAATAAAACCAAAGCAAAAGTACAGAATTCTTGGATTTTTAAATATTCCTATGTTTTTTTTTGTCAAATTTCGACATTCGGTTCCCAATTTTAAGCTCCAAAGTGTACTACTAATCAGCAGAATTACGAAAAACACCATAAAACCAGCATAACAAGGTCCCTAAATAGCAAACGACTCTTGCAGAGGAGTCGCACCCTAAATAGTGTCCCCTGGACGCTAATCTTATCAAACAAGTTTAGCGAGCCAGAGCAGAGCATGTGTTACAATAAACTTGTTCGCCCTCCTCCTATCTCGCCCCTGAACGCTGTTTATATACGCCGAGTGCAAATGGGATAAGTAGGTGAAAACGATCCGAAATGATAGGTAAATATGGCCATAAATCGTGTCACCTTAAAAGGCGACACTCGCGCGGGCATTTGGTGAGTGAGACTGATGTCTGATACTTGAACAAATATGGGGGAGCTGGTTTCGCTTTTTAAGAAAAGGTTGCTTGCTAAAAAGTGCCCCGCAGGGGTTTTTTTGGGTAAATAAAGAAACCGAAAGTGACCCTTGAATTTTGGTGTCGGGATCAAAGAACGAGGCTTGGCTTATGCTTGGCTTAGGCTTGGCTTAGGCTTGGCCTAGGCTTGGCTTAGGCTTGGTTTAGGCTTGTCTTAGGCTTGGCTTAGGCTTGGCTTAGGCTTGGCTTAGGCTTGGCTTAGGCTTGGCTTAGGCTTGGCTTAGGCTTGGCTTAGGCTTGGCTTAGGCTTGGCTTAGGCTTGGCTTAGGCTTGGCTTAGGCTTGGCTTTGGCTTGGGCTTTGGCAGGGTATTGGGCTTGGTTTAGGTTTAGGCTTAAGCTCCCGTTAAGTCAAAACAGCATCCCTCAGAACTTCGGATCCCCCCAACTGATACCAAAAACGCGTCGCCATACCCTATCAAGCCCCCCACCACCCTCACCATCAAACATTTGATCCCCCGCGTCGCGAATTATCAGCGCCGACGCTACAGTTTACGACCTATTATTACTGCACCCGGGTCATTTTTTAGTGGGCACCGTCACTTCCGTGGGTAAATAGTGGGGGCACGGGGGGTGGGGTCGCCGCGGCCATGCGCTCTTCTCTGGGAGTTTACCGATCGAAAAGTTGGGTGCACTACAGTAACCCTGGGGAACTAAGGAGTAGGGTTCAGGAAGCAAGATAAAACCGCTAAAAAAGCAAGCAAAAAGTGGTTATCATAGAAGAGAAAGCGAATGCGAGAGAGAGAGAGAGTGACAGAGATACAGAGAGCGAGAGAGAGAGAACGAGAAAAATCAGGCTAAACGCAATTTAAAATCAGAATTAATGGTTTCTAGTCAATCCGAATTAGGTATACGACCATACATACGACCAGCTGACCATGAACGTTTTTATCGTAAACATGGCAATTTCCAGGCGTTGAATACCTTGAAAAGCCCAAGAATCGCCCGAATCTCGGTGTCAAACACTGACGACGCGCGTGGCTTTTGAATAGCGCATGAATGAATATGGGTGCGCCTGGCGCCAGCTAGCTAGCGGGATACAGCCTTACGTTCGGCATTTAAAAATATTTGCCGACGATCGAATGATACAATGCTGTCACAAAATACGCCGATAGGAAGGAATTTCGTTGGCAAACGTTATTTTTCTTAGTGGAAGCTGGAAAATTAAAATATGACATTTTTTCTGTCGTTTGATCGTGATATATTATCGTAAACAGCGAAATTCATAATCAAAACCTAAAGCATTGCTCGGAAAAGAGACGGCGATGGCGAGAAAAACCGCAAAATCAAAAAGCAAGAAAAAGGAAAATCGATAAGAATCGTTCAGGAATTTTAGGAATGTCTATTATATAGAAAACCAGTGGAAAAAGTCCGCTTCGCGGCCCTTTTCCACTGGACCCCGTCTAGGACCCATGAATTCTCCTTCCTTTGTTTGAAGCCTGCGGAGCAAGAGCCAGAGTCAAGGAACCATTCTTTGGCCTGCGGCGCAAGAGCCAGCGTTGCGCTCGAATCTTTGAGCCTGCGGCGCCAGCTACTACGTCCCCCCGGATTTAGCTGATTTGAAGGAACCATCCATGGCCTGCGGCGCCAGAGCCAACGTAGCCAGAATCTTGGAGCCTGCGGCGCTATTTACTGGTTTCCTCCAGGATTTGGCCTGCGGCGGGAGAGTCCGAGCCAAGGACCTTTCCTTTGGCCTGCGGCGCTAGAGCGAGGGCCAGGCCTAAATCTCGCATACGGAGAGCCAAGCAATATGTTTGTTTGAAGAATTACCAAAAAGCAAAAAGTAGTCATCGCGCCAGATCCGAACCCTTGACCCCTAGCGCCGTGGACCTGGTGCGCTTCCCTTACACCACCGGGAGTTGGGGGTGCGATCCGGGACAGACCTCTTCATCCCCTGGGGACCCGGCCGGGCGCCGTCTAGTAACTTTACAAAAGTCGATTTTTGAGGTGGAAGATGATCGAATTTGTAAAATCTAATAAGCTGCGCCTAAGAAGCACCATCGATTACATAAGTGGTCCAAATTTCAGCCCGGAATTCCATCAGGGCTTCGAGTTAAGGCCCGAACACCACGGCACTTCGGCCATTTTGTTAAGGACTTTTTAGAAAAATGCTCATAAAAACTTTATTTTACAAAATCTGACAAAACGCAGAATTATATCACAGGAGAATGTAATTTTCAATCTGCCCTCCAAAAATTAGCGCCTAATTCCATTCGGATCACGAGATATCCTTTGAACAAACCTTTTTTCGGCCAAGATGTTAAGGATTTTTCACTATTTTGCTTGTAAAACCGTTAAATGAAGGAATTTCGAAAAACAAAAAAATGCGTCACTGACAAATGTGTTTCTCCACCTCCATGCCAAAAATCAGCTCAAAATTCGGCCTGGCGGCCGAGAAATCGGCTGTACAGAAAACAAACATACTTTTCTCGCTTATAGGATAGGATACATAGTTAAGTTCTATAATTTTATGAGCTATACAAGGTTGTAAAAAACACTTTTGAAGTTGCTGGCTTCGAATAGAATTTGGGCTTGTTTTGGTAAGTTTTACTTTACAGAAAATCGTGCTGCGGGGTGACCGAATATTCAAGAGTACTGCAGCATATTAGAAACCGCTAGTTTTGCTAAAAACAGAGAGTAAGGTTCGAAAAATAAACGATTCGTAGGATAATTTCCGACAAAAGCATCTTCCAAACAAAAAGTCATAAAATTAGCAAGATGT